GCAAGTCTAGCGTTCGGCCTCCCGATGCTACGCCGCGACGCACGTGTGCTCCAGTACTGCTTTGAGCTGGAGAATAGTTCCACTGATAACCTATTTTATAGTAAATCTATAATGTATAAATTACCATCAAGCCATCAAAAAAAAAACATGATACTCATATTATCTTGTTTAATCGTTCAAATCTTGTCCGTTATTTCCTATGTTCGAGATCCGTCAGTATTAACGTATCGAGGAGGATCTGATATCCGGGGCTTGCAGGAATTCTAGTAGGAAGGAGAGGCAGCTGCAACTAGAAGTCATCTGGCCAAAGGAAACACAAACTCGCAAGAAACCAAAGGATTATAGCTCCGCAAGGCCATTAATGCATCGTCAGGGACACGCAACCAACTCAGCATGAAAACTTTCAACCACAATGCAGCCGCGTTAAATTGCAAGTAAAAATTGATTGATTCAAGATCAATCCAGTCGGCAATAATAATATATACACTGTACTATCACGTCAGCTCAATAAAACAAAATTTCGGATTACTTATTGAAATATTCAAATGCTTCAGAACTTAGGTACATCAAATATTGATCCTACTCTAAAGTTGAGTCACGCTGGACCGCTCAGGTTACTTGCGTGCGATCCGTTCATCCATAAACTAGAAACAAGAAAGCTAAGCCCGCACTCAACTCAGATTGAAACTCTGCCGACGCCATATTTTTTATTCAGAAAATTTACCAGTTTTTGAGAGGCTACATCATGCTTGACATAAAACTTGGAAATTCAACGATAAGCTCGAAAGAAGAAATTTGAATGGCGTCTAGTATAAATATCCCAAAGTTGCTCCAACAACTTCGTCATTATTTAATGCTGGATGGAATTTAAGCCCCAAACATAATTCGATTTAGATATTTTTCGAGCAAAAAATTGCGGATATTTAAAGAAGAGAAAATTATAAGAAAATCATGGACGAGAAAGTTAAGAGAGAATTCAGAGATGCAGGCAGCAGAAAATGAAAAGGAGTTGAACGGAACGACGACAGGTTTAAGAGTTCGGTCGCCTTGGTTCTCAGAACCCCAGCGAGCTACGAACACTTAATTATACGGCGCCGCGCACATCACGACCTAGCGTCACGTCGAGCCACATCACACGAAACAATCAACCCCACAAAGAGGTCCTCGAACTTTTGGTGTATAATCCAATGCTCTCCGTGAAAAGAACTGCAAGCTTTGATATAATATTATTTCAAAGCTTGCCGATGATAAAACGCGTCACATTTGACACCTTGTTCTTATTACTATGTACGCGTGTTTCTTTTACTGCCACTAAATGCCATGAATGAGGGAAGGAATAGTAGAAGTATGGTTAATTTAACTATTGCAAATAATTTTAATATAAGGATATTAATTGCAAACACTAATATTGCGATTGACGAGGTTTCACTTATAGTTCATTGCCGAGCGACTAGTATGATGTATAGCACAAGCTTCCTATATAACATGACTCTTCTCCGTTACCTTGATGCTCTTTACTCCGCGGTAGATAGATTAGCCACATATGAATTTTTTTATGCCCTCAAAAAGTGGATTGACTCAATGTAAACTCATTCCATACATTGAGGGAAGTCTCCACAAATTCCACGGCTCAAATCTATTGTTGGCCTAATGTTACTCATAAATAATCACAGACAAATGAGCAAGATTTTCTGATACAGACCTAACAAGAAAAATCAACAACGGTCGTTATCCAAGAACTTAAAGCTGACCTTTTTAAAAAAAAAAATTTAATCTGTCGAGCAAATAATTTTAGATAAGTTTTCCATCAGTGTAATGCATGGGGTTGAGACAATTTGACTCAATTCACCCTGAGAAAATTTTATTTAACGAGGCAGGGCATGAGAAGGCAAACGAGAAAGCAAGGCCTCAGGGACCATCAAGTTAATGAGACTTGCAATTAACGAAGCTTCTTCCAAGGGAGAAAGCTGACACCGCAAGCCAAAAGCACACCAACGAAATTGGCAAGCAGAAACACGACTGCATCCTAGGCTCTTCTTCTGACATTAGGAACTGAAAAACATGCATGACTGAAGGCAGCGACAGCAAACATGCATGGATGAAGGCAGTGACAGTAGACATGCATGGCTGAAGGCAGTGACAGTAGACATGCGTGGCTGAAGGCAGTGGCAGTAGACATGCATGACTGAAGGCTACGACAGCAAACATGCATGGCTGAAGGCAGTGACAGCAAAAGTGCATGGCTGAAGGCAGTGACAGCAAACGTGCATGGCTGAAGCCAGAAGGCAGAGCCAGCAATCCCGCATGGCTGAAGGCAGTGACAGTTGACCTGCATGGCTGAAGGCAGTGACAGCAAACATGCATGGCTGAAGGCAGTGACAGCAAACATGCATGGCTGAAGGCAGTGACAGCAAACATGCATGGCTGAAGGCAGCGATAGCAATCCTACATGGCTGACGGCAGCGACATCGTCATCATGCTTATTTCGACTCCCCCTTGAATAAAATGTTGACTCACAAAAGTCGTAATTGTAATGATAGCCATTCCCGTGAGCGCTCCCTCCATAAAAGTGGTTTCCACTAATCACAGACCGCGACTAATCAATTCCCGAAATAATCGAAAAGTGTTCCGAGAAAGGACACATCAACACAGCGTGCAGGATTCCAACCATGGAGGAGACAGAGGAACGCCTCAGCACGAGATATCCTTCGCAGGATGTGCAGCTTACGATAAGCCTTAGAAATTAAGTATCGCTGTAACCTCAATTATCTTTTTTTTATTGCAAAAAGTCTTATTGTTACCATCGAAAAATCTAATTTATATCATGAAAAGTATTATTGTTACACTCCATTAAATGTTCATGGGCGCTCCAAGTCGACGAAGTTTCATGCAAATTGAACACAAATCATCAGCAGGAAATTCCCCAACCTTTCTAGAAATTCGAGCACACAAATCGACTAATAAAAACCACCTTTAACAGCAACGTCCTAATTTGAATAGATGAATAACCCCTAACATTATTTCTACGGTCATAAGAAACAGGACATCAGAATACTTAATGGAGACAAAGACAGTATCCTAAGGATAAATAAGTACAAGGTTTCGAGAGGAGAAGCCAAAAGAGGATGTAAAACCCCCGAGGGGTGAGAGGGGAGTAGCGTTGTTCTGGGGCAATTACGGCCCAGGAAATGCACAAGCACGAGCACAACCAGCGCCTGTGCCAAACAAACGTGACTCATGTAAGCGTTCGTGCTTGAGCTAATATCATTAACACTTGAACCTAAATAAATGCTAGAAAAAACCCTAAAAGCAAATAATAGTTTCGGCTGACAGTGAAAAATACAGAAGCTATCAAATTATATGATAATTTCTGATCCGTGAGAGAAAATGTGCGAGAAATTTTTTGCACTGAGAAGTTTTTTGTCGCATTTGACGAGGTAAAACTGCGATCCATTTTCATTCAGTCAATATTTTTTTCTTGCAGACTGGATAACATTTGGCGTCATAACGATAAGAAGACGAATTTTTAAACCATAATTTTTCAACAACGAAACTATGCAATACAGACACATCTGCAAATAAATAAATTCCCCATGATAAAAGAATAGTAACATGAATGTTGTAATAATTTACTGGCATTCAAGTAAAGAACAGAAATGTAAGCTTGACGTCGTGTAAAATTTCTGCCACGAACTAATTCATACCAAAAAACTTCATAAAGTCCCCTCCAGAGAATCACCATATGCACTCATAGAATTAATAGCGTCGAGAATTTTCCATGAGATGGAAAAAAATAATAGTTTCTCATGGAAAAAAATAATAGTTTCGGAGAGTGAGACGAACTACACAGCTGGCCAGGTACACAGGGAGCAGCTGCATCTCGTTGATGGGCACTCACACAAGCAGGACACACACATGCACACACACGTACACACCAATACATGAACGCACACATTCACACAGCTGTGCGTCCTGATCGAAGGGCTTCACAATTCACACTGCATGAATGTATATGGTTTGCACCTTGATCAGCGATGAGCGAAACTGTGAGGGCACCGAGATACATTCCTCCATACGCAATGCACTATTTTTATATTTTTAATGCGCTCTTAGCAAGCAATTACTACACTAATTGAACAAACGCTTACTGGTTATTATGGCAAAAAGTATGAATTATTCACACATGACCGGAATTCGTCTATAAACGCACTTTCAATTAAAAACACACGCACCAGCGCACAAGCAATACGGGATTTGGAAGCGGAAAATCGGGTTACAAATTCACAAATAAAACGGTCCTCAAAAAAAAATAATAAAATAAAATAAACAGAACCTAACAGTTGAGATTTAGTATTCATGGGTAAATATATACATGTTTTATGTAAATTTCATTGTTCCAAGAATCTACATTGCTTAGGATGGAGGCTGTCTGATCTTTTACCAGAACGTCTCAAAATAAGGCATGACCCCACATCAAAGATCCATTCTTCCATAAGTCTTCGTTAGGAAGCCGTACAAGGAGTAGGATTATCGCAGATATCATCACTTCATTCTAATACGGATACAAGCAATATACAATTTCCAGAGAGCGGCATAAATCACAGATCACGGCCTAAAGCGAATACTGCATGCGCGAGGTCTGGAGAGTAGACTGGGAATCGTAACCAAAATTTAATGTATTTGATTATAAAATAGATTTTGTGTTTACATTTAAATTAGTATTTTACATTTAAAATGTATTTTTACATTTTAGAAGAAGGGCGATATGTAAAATGTAAAGAAGGGCGATAAAATTCAGGTTATGCCCATTCATTGCAACTTGGCGGCAATGGAGACCAAATGAAATAAAGAATACGTGAACTGCAGGGAGCAAAATTACAATTCTCGATGAAGTTTGCAGCGTATTACAATAAATGAAATTGTCGTTCTATTGGAATAGAGCAAGCTAGCAATAAGAGTAGGCGGCAAAAATGGTAATGCAAAATAATTTAAGCACCCACCGGTTGTGGTAAAGCGGTGATGGTTGCCGTGCTGACGTGGTTTGGAATTTCTTCTGGCTTGCCGAATCCATTAGCGGTGTGATTGCCGTTCAGACCATTGCTGAGGACGCCATTAGGTTTGCCATCGGTGGTACTGATGGACGGCAAACTTGAAGGTTCGTAGGAGCTTGTTCCATTGGATGTGCCATTAACACCAGCGAGGCTCACGTTGTTGCTGTGCAGAAAAGAAGACGTCGAAGTGACAGCCGTGGACGGGACGGTTGGGGGAGCAACTGGGGTGAGCTCTGCACCTCCGTTGTTATCGTATAACTTCTGGCGGTACGCAAGACGGTCCAGAGATGCAAGGCGATACGAAGGGCCTGATGTGGACCCTATGCTGCTGGAACTGCTGGAGTATTTGCTGCTGAAGGAGGAGGTGAGGGTCGAGCTACCAAGGCCCGAAGACAAATAGCTTTTCTTGGATTCTTCATATCGACGGAACCGCGGCGAATTGCTGCTGAAGGTGCTCAGCGTGGATGATGAACGCAGGTAACCGCTGTTGTTAGATATGTTATCGCCACTGTCGCCATTCATCTTGGATTATATGTAAAGCAGTTAGGTAGATAACAAAGACGTAAACAATGAAATGAGACCAAGGCACGTAGATCTACTATTGCCGTAGTTCGTAGAGGATTCCTTTAACTTCAAAGGCAGGCATACAGAACGATTGAGAATAAGTAGTAATCAAATTAGGCAATTACCAGTTGCTCGATAATAAACGAGTTTTATTATCAAAGAGCATATGAATGACAAATGTTTCACAATGCGACCAGAAACACTAAATTAATATGCAGAACACGGACTTGTTTCTCAGGAGGACGGTAGAGCGTTATTATTACACCACAGCGTAGTAGTACAGGACGGATTTTATGTAAAGCAGCACGACAGCTAATTTCAATGTCAACGTGAGAAGACGGAGCGTTTCAAGCGCCTCCACACACGAACACACGCAAGAAAAACGAGCAAAATCGATATTGGAGAGCCGGCCGGTACCGAGGCTACGAACTGCCAAATTAGGGCGGTCTGACTGCTCGATATCCACTTCCAGCCGCGCCGATAACGCTCAGAAAGTCACGTAACGAATAAAATTACATATACTGGACGTAGACAATTCAATTCATATGAGAAGGATATTGACGAAGGCACGTGTGAAAGCAATGGATGTTGGTTAGTACGAGCTGAGTGCCATGAAGCTTGGCAGAAGAACGCGTGTTCAGACCACGCCCAGGGCTCAGTGAAGACTGCACCACCAACACGCGCGCAGACCCCACAGCACCACGGTACGTTACAGACTGAGCACTTGAGGAGTCTGAGACGCGCATGCTGTGATCTCGGTTAAAATTACCCAATGTTGATATGAGATCGAGATTTCTTCAAGAGGCCGAGAGTACGGTCTAATTTTTTTAAATCTGAAAATAGATCTCCAGCACTAAAAACATGTATACAATCATGGAACGAAACATATAATTCCCAACGTAGCATTGAAAGACATGCGTTCTCTATCGTAAGTATTCCCGTAGGCCAGCACAAATCCCGATTGGCAGAACATAACGCGTTAAAATAAACACTATTATTTGTCACGAAATTACAAAACTTGACCTTGGCTAGGCGCTGTAAAATCAGAATTTAAATAATAAAGCAAGCCAAAAACGGAGTCCAAGCTATCCAAGGAACGGGTTTCAATTGCTTCACAGTCGATCTCTACGAATGATCTAACATTAAATTCATCAATTACAGGCTCACAAGTTTCCTCAAGTCAACACAGCTACCTCAACAATGCACTTGATAGTCTACATCACCAGAGGAATCATCCACTTCAGTCCCAAGCAAACGGTGTCAAATGGTCGTAGAATTTATTGACCGTAAAATTGCGGGCTTATATTCGGTGTGAAGGCAACCCACACCACAGGCGCTCGAACATTTATATGAGCGCTCGAGGCCTTCCATTGCTAGTTTGATGGGAAGAGTGCTCACAGGAGGGGAAAAGAAAGAGGGGCTCACAGGAGGGGAAAAGAAAGAGGGGCTCACAGGAGGGGGAAAGAAAGAGGGGCTCACAGGAGGGGTTGAGAAAGAGGGGCTCACAGGAGGGGAGAGGAAGAGTGCTCACGTGAGGGGAAAAGAAAGGGGGGCTCACAGGAGAGGAAAAGAAAAGGGGGCTCACATGATGGGAAAAGGGGGGCTCACAGGAGGGGAGAGGAAAAGTGCTCACGTGAGGGGAAAATAAAGGGGGGCTCACATGAGGGGAAAAGAAAGAGGGGCTCACAAGAGGGGAAAAAAGAAGGGCTCACAGGAGGGGAGACGACGAGTGCTCACAGAGGGGGGGGGCGTGTTCGGACGCTGTTGTTTTACCATCAACCATCATCATCATGATGGTAAAACAACATGACCTACTACAACACATTACTGTGCTGACGCTGATATGTCAATTGGGGTAGTTGGTGTGTATGTTCACAAAGTTAGAGGGGTGGATAGGTCTTGGAGAATACAATGCTCGACTATTTGCATTGAAAAAATCATGCAACACTGAGCAACTATGTGGTTTTGGTTGATTTAGATTGAAGCTTTTATAATTCCACCACGATACCTATACCCTTTGAGGGAATACATAATTGTCTTTCAGAAAAAAAGGTACCGTACCGAATATTCCAAATTTTAGTTCGACGAAAAAAATGGAAAACTAAGTAAATTTTATTGCTTCACTTTGTGCTTTTGATTTGACAATACCCTATACATAAACACGTACAGAGGGACATGAAGGTATTAACAAACGACATGTCTTACCAATTACATTAACTGCTATTGCTATACTCTTAAACAGATATTATTGTATCAGTTACCACCAAATAAGTGCATGAATACAACTACTCAAACTGCATGTTTAAATGATCAAGAAACTTGGTGTGATAATATTGCTAATAGTCTTTTATTCGAGCGGTTCCGTAGCCAAGATGCTCAACGCGAATGTGTTTTTTCGCCGATGTACAGAAAAAAAATAACTCGGTACTCACTGCAGTGAGTGACAGAGAGCGCATTTTCTCGTCCACGAAAACGAAGTCACGGACGGACAGACAGACGCACGGACGGACAGACAGACGCACGGACGGAAATGGCGAGCACAATAGCGACTTTTTTCCATAAATGGGAAAATTCGCTAAAAAGGTAGGACGACCGTGTAATTTTTAGGTAACGACAGTCAACTTTGAACGTAGGTCACTAAATTATTTTATGGTGATCTTATGACGGTGCAGAGGTAAGATTTCTCCAGCTATTAACGACATTTTAGATTCATCAACAAATCACCAACAACAAACGTAGGGTAAATAGTGAAGACGTTCAATGATAAGCTGACAGACATTCAAAGTTACAATGAGAAACATAAATTGATAAACTGGGTGGATTTATTAAAAAATTAGGTGACAATCAATGATAAACTAGTAGATATTCAATGAAAACTGATAGATATTGACAGAAAATCAAAAGAGCTGTGGATCAGAATATTAAAAAGGGATAAGATTAATTTTTTTAGTCGCCACATGTTTCTCGCACCGAAAGTTAAGATGTACGGTACATCACTAACGGGTGGAAAATTCTCAATAAACAAGCGGTTCTCAAATCAAAAATAATTCATCACCCACAAGGGGCGGAAGGTCTCAATTATCCAGCCCGCTGAATCTGGCTCGAAAGAAGCAGCGTAAGCATCTCAAAGAGCCGAAGTGACAAAGAGGGACAGGTGAAATGCAACAAAAACTAAGACTCTAGAACAAGAAAGAGGTCGCCTACATGGAACGTCGGCCGCCCGCACGAGAGAGACAGAGAAGGGAAATAATGTAAGGAACCCTACCTACATAATAACTTAATGTAATGAATCCTACCTACATAATAACTTCATGTAAGGAACCCTGCCTACATAATAACTTAACCCCACAACTGAGACCTGCAGTCAGATACCGCGAGCTCTGACTGCGCTTAATAACAATGTCCCTAGGAACGTGAAATCCCATAGGACTTCTGAAGAGCACAGACAGGCGTCATAAGTCCCCCTGAGCGGTAGGGTTAAGGTTGAGAAAATAACCACTGTATATTTCAGTCACGGAACTTGTTCAAATTCAATAGTGGAACGTGCAGAGGAACCTCTTACATTTCGAGTGAGACGTGAATTTTGACCGTAAGAACTGGTTGCTTGATCACGCATATATTAGGCTTGACTGGCCCACTTAACATGAACTGACTGGAGAAATGTAAATTAGCTAACATGGTATCTGCGGACCTGTACATCTGCCCGCGTGTACGTCTGCTGACATGTACGTCCGCTGACATGTACGTCTGCTGACATGTACGTTTGCTGACATGTACGTCTGCTGACATGTACGTCTGCTGACATGTACGTCTGCTGACATGTACGTCTGCTGACATGTACGTCTGCTGACATGTACGTCTGCTGACATGTACGTCTGCTGACATGTACGTCTGCTGACATGTACGTCTGATGACATGAACGTCTGATGACATGTGCGTCAGCTGACATGTACGTCAGCTGACATGAAAGTATGCGGACATATACGTCAGCTGACGTTCACATCAGCTCACTTTCACATCAGCTGACTTTCACATCAGCTGACTTTCACATCAGCTGACTTTCACATCAGCTGACTTTCACATCAGCTGATTTTCACATCAGCTGACTTCCACATCAGCTGACTTCACATCAGCTGACGTTCACATCAGCTCACTTTCACATCAGCTGACTTTCACATCAGCTGACTTTCACATCAGCTGACTTTCACATCAGCTGACTTTCACATCAGCTGATTTTCACATCAGCTGACTTCCACATCAGCTGACTTCACATCAGCTGACTTTCACATCAGCTGACTTTCACATCAGCTGACTTTCACATCAGCTGACTTTCACATCAGCTGACGTTCAAATCAGCTGACTTCCACATCAGCTGACTAGTCTACATTTTTGGAGGGTTAACAAAATAAATTACTTTTTGTTCATGGTCAATCTCGATCAACGCCGTGCTGAAATATGTTCCACATTCTCAGTAACGTCTTTCTTTTAAGTGGATCGATTTTCGAAAAGTAATTGAATTTTTTTTACTGTGATACAAATTCATAACTTGACAAAATAATTAAGATCTTCTTACAATAATTACGATCTATGTTAACCTCAAGCTTCAGGAAACCAAGTACCCTCTAACAACGAAATGGTTTATAGTCGGAGCCAATAACCTCAAATTCAAACAGAAAAATTCAATTCATTTCTAATCTCGATGTAGCAAAATTAGAAAAAAGAATAGTCTCCCACTCGCGGCAACGGTTTTCTTCCGTACCTGAAAATTTTATACATAGAAAATTTATTGCCGGGGTGACTCATCCAAATCAACTTTTTTTTGGTCATCTCACAAAATAAACAGAGTGACTGAAATTGAAATAAGCAGCAACAAATGACAAATTAAAATGGAGATCATTCCCACTATGACACGTTACGGTTTTTTTCTTTGCCTATGCTAAAACGATCTTCATAGTTCACAGCAACTAATCAACTTGATAACCAAATCAAGTTATTTTATGTCTTCAAAATTGCGTCAAAGATTACCTTGGTTAATTTCAAACAATGCGAGACAATACATAATTTAACGAGTAGAATTAAATCATGGCAATACATAATTTAACGAGTCGAATTAAATTATGACAATACATAATTTAACGAGTTGAATTAAATTATGACAATACATAATTTAGCGAGTTGAATTAAATTATGACAATACATAATTGAACGAGTTGAATTAAATTATGACAATACATAATTGAACGAGTTGAATTAAATTATGACAATACATAATTGAACGAGTTGAATTAAATTATGACAAAACATAATTTAACAAGTCGAATTAAATTATGACAATACATAATCTAACGAGTCGAATTAAATTATGACAAAACATAATGTAATGAGTTACAATGAAAACAAGTGCATAATAATTTGTGTACAGACGATGACGAGGCTGAAGCGCACAAGCAAGCGGCCCACAGCCCAGCATAAATGTTTAGCCTATGGCAGCCATGTGTTCCGCAGAGTCAGACTAGACATACAGAAGAAATAATTCCCACAAGCCCTCATCTCCAATGGGATTCGCGTGGCGAAATTCGAAATACTTGGCAATGAAAATTCGATTCAGTATTATTGAATGTTGTCAGTAAACGAGAAAATTAAAAACGCTTCTTCGTTTAAATAAACTAAACATCTTGCGATTTCGAAATAATGAATCATTAG